TGCAGGTGGTTTAAGGGCAGCAAGAGGTGGTTTTAGCATAAGATATCATGTTGGTGATCATTTACAGGTATATAAATTCTGTAACTATCAACTTCTTTGATATATAATTTTGTTTTCGCATAAGATATGATAACTATCAACTTGTTTGATAACTATCAACTTGTTCAAGTAGGCATTATCATGTTCTAGCTATCAAATCTGTAACTATCAACTTATTCTAGTAGCATAAAATATGATAACTAGGCATTATCATGTTCTATCAAATCTGTAACTTTCAACTTGTTCTGTAATTTTTTTTTAATAGGCATCATCATTTAGTCCCTAACATCAAATGGTTGACATGGATTTCCTATTAACACAAGGAACACAAGATTGATTGATGATTAAGAAATTTTTTGTGAATGAGGTAAGTAAGTGGCTTAAGACAAATATGTTTTTTTAAGTTGTTGTTGATGGAACATCAACTGATGGCTATCTTTAATTTTTTTTGCAGGTTGATGCATCTTAAACTCATACTTGCAAGTGCATAGCTGCCTTTCTGAACCTCAATATTTTTGTAAGATAGACCTCATACTTTTTGTTCATGGACCTCTTTATTGATTGATGTAATATTTGTATGAGGATCTTGAAGTAATGGTTGTAACTTTGCAATTGATGATGTTATTTTTGTGCACCTCATAGGTGGTTGTAACTTTGCAATAGATTATGTTATTTTTGTATGATGCAATGTTATTATCATATTGTGCATTTTGAGCACGTTATTGCAATATGGATGGAATGCAATGTTATTATCATATTGTTCTTTCGAGTAGGTTATTGCAATGTAGATGGAATGCAATGTTATTATCATATTGTGCATTTTGAGCAGTGTGAATGAAATAATGCCATATGCAATGTGAATGGAACAATGCCATATTCAATGTAAATGGTTCAATTACAATATAGTGCAACCATTTCATTCCACTTCTTACATTCATAAACCATGAAACATAGTACAAAAACAGAAATTCCACCACTTAATAAGATAGAAGCACCAGAGAAACAAAACAACTCTTTATCTCCTTAACAAAGAACACACCATAGCAAAAACACATAAGATGATACAGGCTGCAATAAGAACCATTATAAATTTCACTCTTTCTTCCATGGCTTCTACATGTAACCTCAACTGAGTAATATCATATTCTAATACCCTTTCAACATGTTGCCGAGTCTCAAATAAGTTTGCCTTCACTCTGAATGGTTTCTGATGAAATTGGATAACACCATCTCCAAAATCCACATTCTTTGTTGTGACATTTATAGTACAGCTTTCCCAAATTGTTATTATCGTTCTTCCCTGTTACCAATACTTCAGCCAATTCCCAACAATCACAATAAAGATTTTTATACCTTAGATCTTGACCACCACCAGATCGAATGCTTGAGGCTGACATTATGTGATTAAAATCTGCAAATCATACCAAAATTGAATTTATATATATGAATATATATAAATATTATGCATTGAGAATAAATTTTTGTACCAAAATTTACAAATCCTACCAAAATTGAATTTAAATATATGAATATATATAAATAGTATGCATTGAGAAAAAATTTTTGTACCTTCAATTATGGTGTTGAATGATACAAAGATGGATTACGAGGCTTTCCTTTTAGGCCTTCGATTGCACACAGTAAAAGGGAACGATTACGGATTTCCTTTCCTTTTAGGGCTTCAGAGCTTCGCGGCCTCCCCCTTTCCTTTCCTTTTAGGGCTTCAGAGCTTTGCTCACATGACAGTACACAAGTTTATATATATATAACACAGAGGACAGGGGAAGGGTATTTTAGGGATTTTTTTTTGATAAGCACGTGTTGGTCATGCGCTACTACCCAAATGGCAGGTTAACGGGTTTGAATGAAAATGGGGCAATGTGATGACGGTTTATAGTTTAGGGGGGTGTTTAATTTTAGTGGGGGCATTTTGGACGAAAACGTTAGTATAGGGGGGTTATGTGATTTTTTTCCTTTATTTTAATAGTGTTAAGGCCCATATCTACCCTACCAATTTTTATTATTAGGATACAAAAAATGTGCTGGCTTAGAATTTTTACCAAATAATTAAATTGTGAAACAGACTTTGTGGGTCTAGAAGCCCGTTTTGAGGGTGTAGGAAATATGCCCCTATTAACAGATGTTTTAGATATTCTGACATAAAATATTCGGATCACATTGTAAATTGAATTTTCTTATTAGGGGCCAAAATTGAATCCATGCCCATCCATTTATAATTTTATAATATGGCCCATATGGGTGATTAAGGCGTAGGCTGAACATCCCAAGTTTCAAGGCAGATTTTATGCCACTTGATGCAATTACATTTAGGTCCCTTTATTTATGATACAATCATGAGCAAAGTAGGCTAACCAAATGAGAGGTGGGGGGTTCAAGACTCGGTGGAGGCGTGGATGTGTAAGTTTGCTTAAACTTCCAAAAAAAAAAAAAAAAAAAAGAGGCTCACCGACTTGCATTAAAATTATTATTTTTAGTTTGTATCCATTAAGAAAGAAAATAAAAAAATAAAAAATCGTTGATGCTTGAAATATAATTAAGACATATCAATCAAGGGAAAAACCTAGCTCATATTAATAAAGGAAATTAACGAAATTCAACACAAGAAATCACAATGAAATTTTATCAAAATTTATATTTTCAGAAAGAGTATGCATAACATGAGAAACGTATATGAGACATCACACATATATTATAGGGTGAATTACATTAAACCCCCTTTGCTATTTGCGTTTTGCAATAAAAATCTCCCTTAACTATCCAAGGGGGTGACTTAGCAGACAGACGTTAGATGAAAGAGAATTGAAATAGAAATTGACTTAAATGCCCATTAGGCCTATTTGAAAATCTACTTTGTGGGAGCACCTTATTTTTTATTTATTAAATAACCTAAATGACATCATTCATATAAATTAACACTTATATTTTTTTTTCTTAAAATGTTAACATTTTACTAGACTGTCGAGGAGATTAAAAATAAAGTTTTGAAAGCAATCTTTTTATTTAATTAAAAAAATTCTATTTTGTTTGTAAAAGCATGGGTTAAAGAATTCCAGAATAATGTTATGATGATAGTCAAGTTCACATTAGTCACATGGAAGGAATATATTTTTTACAGAAAAAATAATATTTTGAAATATAAAAATAAAAAAGAAGAAAAACATGTAGGCATAAATAATATAAAAAAGGAAAAAAATAGGTATTGTTTCTCGTAGTGGTAAAAGATGAATCCATTTAACAAATCTGTATAAAATAAAAATTAATAAAAACCAAAGAAATGAATTCACAATATAATTCTCAAAATAATAATAATAATTATAAAACAAAAATAAAAATAAATTAGGAGATAAATATAAAGGAAAACCCAGATTTATATAGGTATGATGGCTTGATAGAAATGCAAATATAGTATAAATAATATGTACTATATATTTGTATTATTTATATTATATTTGCATTTCTATCCAGCCATCGTACTTATATCTGTATCTATATCTATCTATATATATATATATATGATAGGTAATGAAAAGAAGTTGAGTAAAAAGAAGAGTATGTGATGTTGCAATGGTGGGGGATATACGCCTAAGAATAATAATGGAGTAAATATATATGTGTGGTATATTAAAATAGGTACAAGGACATTTTTGTCTCAAAAATATATAAAAAAACTCAATGTCCAAATAGCTCCCTTTTAACTAACTTTCGTCAGTTAAATTACCCCCCATCGAATAGTTGAGGGGTTTTTTTGACAAAAAAAATAAAATAATAATAATAATTTAGTGCAAAAAACACAAAAAAACAGAAAAAGAAAAAAGGAGTTTAATGTAATTGACCCCGTATTCTATATAGATTTAGTAAATAGGAACACTGGAACAATGATGCAGCTATTGCATAAGCATACAAAGAGAACAATGTTACAACTGAGTTGGGACTAGAGGTACACACTGTGGCCCTGTTTGGATTGGCTTTTAAAACTCAGCTTTTTGGCTTCTTTGACTTGAAAATTATTTTGAGTAGTGTTTGGCTATATATTTTTTTTAAGAGCTTTTCATCTAGAAAGAGTGCTTTGGTGTTTTAATAAAACTTTTAAAAACTCAAGCATATTATTTTTAGTACCTAGTTAAAAAATAAAATTTCAAACGTATCCCTATATAAGACGCCTTAAAGCCTACTTTATAATACCACCCACTCAAATCAGAGATTGCAACTCTCAAATCAGAGGTTACAGAGATGATATCGTCTTGTCTCTCCAACCTTTGTCTCATCAAATCTATAACTCTCACTCATCGAACTCAAACTCATCTTTTCAAAAGGCACATTGGTTTCTCCCTCTAGGGTTTTGCACAGCAAATACAAGTCCTAATCCACTAAAGAACATTCGAATTTGAAGCGAGACCCATTGAAATTCTCAACTGAACTTCAATGGCAGAAGAAAGACCCAAGCCAACAAACTCCATTCCAGATACAATTTCGTATATATATTCAATTCCCTCCATTCCTCTAATATATATACCACATCAATTGATTCTCTTAGTTTGTCATTTGATTCTGTAGACAATCTTTTTTTTATGAATTCTGTAAAACGAAAATACCAATGTTTGTTTGTTATGTTTCAAAAACACGGTCGGGGTAGTTCCCATTTTTTTGTCAATTATTGTTATTTGGATTTTTTTAAAGTTGATGTCAATTATGGGCTTTGCCCAAAAATCATATTTGCATACTGTGATTCACATATCACAATCGATAGATATTTGCATCGTAGGATATCTATCGATTTGGGCTAAGGCCCAAGTAGTAAAACAGAACTATCGTTGAACTGACCCATTTACAATAAAAATCCTAGGATAGATTCGTCTGGCACAAATAGATTTTACGTATCATTACTCTATATATATTATATAAGTATATATAATATATATATCTACGCGTATAATCAATGAAAGAACACCGAGCAATCTAGCCGAAACGTTGTTGCCTTGGATTAAAAAAAACAAAAAAAAATCTAGCCGAAACTGTTTTTTTTTTTTTTTTACACAGAAGTCCCAAAGTTCGAAACCTAATTCATGCATGGACTACAATTGAAGACAGTTTTGAACAATCTTCAGATTCAAAGGTAGAAGAGTCGATGGAATCGTAAAGGTACAATCTTTCGAAAAAATATTTAAGGTACAGTACAACTGCGGCTCTAAATGTATATGTATATATATTTATATATGGGAATATGTTATGATACTTCATTGTCTCAATTGGAATAAAAAAGAATCGCCTTTGTGTTCCTTGTTCGAATAATAATGGGCTTCTTTCCGGATGATGTGTTGGTTGAGATACTGTGTCGATTGCCGGAAAAGCCTCTGATTAGGTTCAAATGTGTATGCAAATCATGGGATTATCTGATCTCTGCGTTTTGCTTGCCCAGAGTGTCTCTTCCTCTCTGTGGCCTTTTCTTCCGTACTTATGCTCTCCCACCTCATATGCCCCTTATAACCAGACACGCGAGCAAGCCATCACGGGATGCGTTTTATAGTAATTTGAGGCGCTTTGACAACGAAGAGCTCATTGATTATGTTTCTGTAGAAGACAACTGTGGCATTAGTGGTGGTGGTGGAGGATTTGTTGATTCTGAATTTTTGGCTAACTTACCATTCCAAACGACTAATGCAAATGACTTTCTTGATAGTTGCAATGGCTTGTTTTTGTTCTTCAATTCCTTTGATTTCCGGTACTATGTGTGCAACCCTGTGATGAAGCAATATGTGCCGATTCCCAAAGCCCACTGCCACCAGCAGCATCATTGCTATGCAGCATTGGCTTTTAACCCCTCTGAGTCCCTTTGCTACAGAGTTGTACGCATTGCCAGATGCGAAATGGAAAATAAGCTTGTGTTGGACATATATTGTTCTAATACTGAACAATGGGTTAGACACCGGGTACAAATTGATTCCTGCATTAATGGGCGCTCCTGGATAAGGCATGCTGTTTACTTTCACGGTGCACTGTACCAGTTATCTTTGTCTAAGCACCTTTTCAGGTTTGATCTCAATGAAGTCGGTGTTCATGCCGTTGAGCTCCCATTGACAGAAAATGCAAATCGAAATCGGATTGGATGTATTGGGGTGTTGATGGGCCGTCTATGTTATGCGAGGAAAACCCCCACCACGTTGTTCATTTGGTCACTTGAAGGAGACTGTAAGGCTGTGGAATGGGCTTTGAAGTATAGGATCAACATGGCTAGTTTAATAAATGATTTAGTGCTTTCTAAGGGGCTTTTTCGTTCTCGGTTTTTGTGGTTTCAACCCTTTGCTTTTCATCCGACTTCTGATGTCATCTTCTTGAGCATTCCACTTAGGATCCTGAGTTATGATCTCAAAAGGCAAAGGTTAGAAGAGGTGTACAAACCAAGGCGTGGTGTAATAGTAGAAGGGCAACATTATCCAGGCTTTACTTGTTTTCGTCTCCTGGTCTCCCTAAACCATTTGGGAAAGATCCAGTCTAGATCAACTCAGCTGTAAGTAGCTTGGATTTTCTTGCTTTTTTTTTTTTTTGTTTTTTTGATAAGTAGCTTGGATTTTCCTTCTTTTATTATAAATTATTCCCTTCTACTGCCATCTTTGATTCGATCTTATGTTCGATCATATGACTTCCATTTTTATTTGTTTTTCATTTTCTTCCCCTAAATGAACTTATAAGATTCTTATTACAAGGATTATCTTTTAAATTTTTTTCAGCTATATAATGCCTATAGAAAAAAATTTATTGCTTCCGCATATTCTTCCTCTTCATCATCATCAACATCATTTTTATATATATACATAATCAATAAGAAACTAAATGGAGAATAGTGTTTGAAGACAGAAACCATACCAAGAAGAGGCACAACTCACCATGATAAGCAAGAAAATCCTGAAATGCATTTGAATGAGAAATAAAAGCAGAACTCACTAGACCTCATAACTATGATAGGTAGGTTCTTATTAGTAAACATATAATGCTTTTGAATAACAAAGAAAAACATTAAAGTTGGAGCACAAATAGATTTCAACGTACAGCATATAGTACATCTCTTGTTCCCTTTGTCAGAATCTTTATTTGAACTTTAATTTTGAGAACAACTTTTCAGTTTGCATCATTTACTTGTATTCTATTTGTTTCTTTAGATAACATATCTAGAAGCCCTTGTGATTCCCATATTGCAGTTTTCACTAAATCTCTTTTGTAGGATAATGAGGCATTAGTGGAGCCTTATTACATAAGCATATTTTTGTATTGGTCTTTTACCGGTAACTGTGGGCTAGATTACGACTGTTTGATATCTCAAGTGTGTAATTTATGGTGCGACAAGTCCAAGGATTTTGGAAAATGTTCGTGAGGTTATTAGACTTAGGTTGGCAAGTTTGTGATAAAAACTTGGAGTCTGTACTTTTTTGTTTATTTGAGTGTCTAGTTGTTATGTTGGTTATGGTACCTTGTCCAAGCGTAGATCTGGAATTTCATATACACCAATTCCAACTTGTATTTTGACACTCACCAACTAAGGTTCATGCATTCACCAATAAGGGTTTCATGTTTTTCATGTTTGATTCGTCTAAATCCTTTTTGATAAACATTAAAGTGGTTTTGGAAAGTTATAAAAATCAGAGTCCTCTTCCTAAAAGGACAGGAGACTTCAATCGATTGAGGTATTCATCGAATCATACTGGCCTGGTGTCTATCAATGATCGAGTATGTTAATTCTGAGTGTCCTATTTGAATTGAATTACTCAAAACCCTAGTGTTTTTCAGACTCCATGCTCTATGTAAAGACACTTACAGTTCAAAAAATATAAGCACACAATATATTGATTTCTTTTTTCCTATGAGTAAATTCCATACTGATTGCTTGTGCATTACAGTAATTTTTTATTGTTAGAATTTGTATTTTTCCACATTCGTTGTGAGTGTATCAATTGGTTGTTGAATCATTTATAGCTGTGGTTCAAGCTCTTCAACAACTCTAAAGTTTTAGCACACAAAAAAGGGACATGACTAGGAACGAGATTAGAAATCCGTGAAGAAGCAAACTGTGTGAGGAGCAGATTTGTTGATGGATCAACGGCTGGAAGGATTTGGGGAGATCTTGCTTAAGTTTGAGTCATGAGAGATGGATGAGGCATCCCTAAGGAAGGGAAGGTGACTTGCTCACCTTTTGTTTGGTTTAATGGAATAGATAGTAGAAAGGATGGATGGGTATGGAAGGAAAGGAAGGAGAGTATTACATTTTTTTACCAATATGCCCTCATTATGTATGGGAGAATTTTCGTTGGGTTTAACAAGTTATTTAGTAAATAACTAAAGGTTAAAATTGGTATTACCTTTGTTGGGTTAGTTATTCTTTCTTTCCCTTTTCTCTTCCGCCCAATTTTGAACTGACAAAAAAACAACATGCTAGGAAGGATGCTTCATCCCTCTTTCCTTCGTGCCTCTTTTCCCTTCCTTGTAACCAAACATAAGAAGCATCGTCTATCCCCAACCCCCCCACCCCCCTCCTCCATCCCTTCTCAATCCTTCCTTCCAACCAAGCATAGCATAAAAGGGATATTTATATAGTATATCTATATATCTATGTTTGAATTTGGAAAGATGAGAAAATAAAGATAACATATAGGGCAAATTAACGCTTTCACTTTCTTACTTTTACTTTCTCCAAAAGTAAAATTATAAACTGAAACTGAAATACTTAGTAGAATCATGTTTAATAATCTTTTATTTTTTCAATATTTTGAAAGCAAAAAATTCGAAAGTAAGTTCAATAATTATGATTTTAGTTTTGGTTTCTAAATTCTAAGCACAGTTCAGATTCGTATCCACCAAGCTCACATACATCCTCAGATAAACCTGCTATATCATCTTACCAAATTCTTAAAAACTCAACCGAGATTGACAGACTCACACAGGAATTGGAGTTGGCATATTGCAAATGTTTGATTTAAATAATCAGAATTATTTTTAGAAGAAAGTTATTCCTTCTCTTTTGGAAAAAATGGCCAAGAATATAGATCAGAAAACCAACGCAATGCAGCTCCAGTCCCCTCTCCTCTTTACACGGACAAGACCGCCGCCTCCGCATCCTCGAAATTGGCTCCAGCACGGGACTTGTCGCAATCGCTGCCAAAGTCACCGTAACTGATTTGGGTATATTATTGATGGGGTTTGGTGTGTATGAGAGAGGAGATAGATGATTGTGGCCGTGGGTTTTGATGTGTATGAGGGAGGAGAGAGATGGTTGATTTGGGTATATTATTGATGGGGTTTGATGTGTATGAGAGAGGAGATAGATGGTTGATTTGTGTATATTATTTGATGGGGTTTGATGTGTATGAGAGAGGAGTCTTCGTCCAGATAGAGAGAGATACTGGTAGAAAGTGTGGTGGGTGGTGTCTTCCACCGTCGCCGGTGTGTAGTGTCTTCCATTGTTGCCAGTGGGTGGGTTGAGATGATGATGACGGAGAGGGAGATGACGATGGGTGATGATGGTTGGGTGAGAATGGTGGGGTGAGATGATAGAGAGGGAGAGGATGATTGATGAGTAATTGCTACAGTAACGAAAGTATTTTCTGTGTACAGTGTAGAAAGTAGAGAAAGTAACAAATCCTCACTTTCTCTTTCGTCATTAAATGTGAAAGTACTTTCTAAAATATGAATAGTAAAATTATATTAATAAACATAATTTTTACTTTTACTTTACATTTTTAGGAATTGACAGTAAAACAGGAATAATTCCTGTTAGTAAACAAGCCCATAGTGTCTTAAATTTCAAAATTTTATAAGAATCACGACTCGCTTGATAAATACTGATCGCATTGCACACTCTTCGTGCGCACAGTTTTCAGAACGCGTCTGCATAGCTAGGAGGCATCACACACACGTGTTAGTAACTTCTCCCCCTCAAGTGATGTGGGACGTCACATTTTGGTTGTAAGATGAAAATCTGTATCATTTTTCTAGTTTGAAGCGTAAAGAAGAAATTCAGCTCATTGATCATGCCCATCCCAAAAGAATTTCTCTTGTAATATAAGCAAGTGAACTAGATGTGGAAAACAATACCATTTTTTGCCACCGTCAGATTGCACTTGCAGAAGGGAACACTTAGATTTGAAACATTAGCACCTTAATCATAAAAATGATTGCTCACTATTCCATATGGCATAAACGTATGTGCCCAAATATTTGACTTAATTGCTTCATATTCTCCAAATTTGTTTCACACAATGTGACATGTTGAACAAATATAATCCTGTTCTCTAAGCATCTGACTTCTTGTTTTTTCGTAACTTACAGAACATCTATTTCACAAGACATGAAGATTTTGAGTTTGGAAATGCCACCTGATGAAAATACCCAATGAAGGTGCATGACAAATGGAACCCCACATGGTAGGATGATTGTCCTATGAATTTGGTGTATGGGATTTATGTTAAATTATCCTTAGTTAAAATGCGTAAGGTAGAACTATGTTATATGATGTGTGTGTTAAATTATGGTACTGAATAATTGTAAAACATGTAATGTTTATCTTTCATGACCTCAATAATTATGTCTGGAACATTATAATTATTTTTGTTATTTTCTCACGTCACTCCATTCTAGCTTGTACCAGTAATCTCTGGAGCTGTGTGGTTGATTGTCTCTTGCAACAGTGATTAGGTGATTTTTCTATAAAACATCAAACATTGTACATGAATGGGTTTCAAAACACAAGTGGTGGTTTTTCATGTTCTCTCTCTGTTAATGTGCAATTTACTTCTGAATTTGCTTCTGAATGTTGATTATGTCTGGAGAATTATTATTATTTTTGTTATTTTATTATTAATTTTGAATTGATGTTCAAGGCCTAGCAAGGCCAACAGAATACAAAGGAAATAAAATAAGCAACACTACAGCCACTGAAGAGACATCCACAGAAGTGAACAGACAGAAGATAGCAGCTCAACATACAGAATTTACAAGTCTACAATTCAGAAAGTCACTTGTATAGGGACACACGATGCTGAAATATAGCAATTCAATGATGATTAGTCATGTGTATTGCATTTCAGCTTGATTATTATGTTTTCTTTCAAGTCTAAGGGCAAATTTATCCCACTATTAAATAATGATTTATTTGAAGAAGCTATTTGCCAAATATTAATGAAATTGGCCACATAAATTTTCTCTTCAATCTAATCTATTAGTTGTTATTTTACCTACTATATTTAATTTTTTTAAATTATATTTAATGATCTCATCCCATATTAAAACTAAAAAATTATTTTTGGTACCGCATCTAATTTTTTCCTACTAGCGATCTTATCTATTCTAGTCACTCCACTCATTTTTTCTCACTTTTTCTCGCATTTTCACTAGTGACCTTATCTATTCTAGTCACTTACCTCATTCATCATAACATTCTCATTTCTACTACATGAAGCGGCTGTTCTTTCAATTTTTTTAGGGCCCAGCACTCCACTCCATACTACATAATTGGTCCAATCCTTTTAGCCAATGTGTTGCAGTGCCTCTTTTATCACATAATACCTTACTAGATTGTCTCCATTTTATCCATCCCGTTCCAATTCTACTTGTTATATCACTCACCGTGTACCTTTCCATCCATCATTTGTATTATAGATCATATGTTATGCAAGTAGTTTTGAGTAATCTTTTAATTCTTTAGTTTTATCGTTATATTATCTATGTCTGAATCTTTATCAAATTTACACTCCATACATTGAGTTTTGGTTCAATTAATTCTCAATCCTTTCAATTCTAAAGCATTTTTCCACAATTTCATCTCTATGACTAGATAATATTGGTCAAGTTGAAAATGATGCGTACCAAGAACATTATTCAAGATGACATCCATATTAGTAGTTCAATAAATAAATTGAGTAATACGGTAATGGTTCCGAGTGTTGAGGGAATTTCTTGCCATCCATGAATGTACACATGATCTTGTACAGCATGCGCTGGAAAGTCGCTAGGCATTACACCAATAGAGTGTAAAATAAGGTACAAGCATACAAGTATGTTTTGGAACTTTTTTTCTAGTTACACCATTTCATTGTCTTTCATGGACACAATATCATATGCAGGATCTTAAGCTCCTTCCACCACCACCACCACCACCACCGTTGCCTCGCGGCCTTCCACCAGTCTCCCCTGCTCTTTACACTCCTGCATAACAAAAACCAAATTATGTCTACTGTAGTTCAAAGGTTATGTTCCAAGGCACTCTGTTATTATCTGGATATATGGCTATAAAACAGAAACTTTACACCCAAGACAGATTGTCAAAGTTTGGAATGATCTCAAGTATCAGCTGTGTTTTTTGCAGACATAAAACTGAAAGCGTCTTTTATTACAATGCTCTACTACTAGTAGCAGCATCTGGACTTTCATTGGCTCACAGTTGTGTATTCAATGGCCATCTGAATCCCTACCAGACTTTGAAATATCTACTTGTAAACACTTCAGTTGCTTAGATCAAGCTTATTCTCAAAGAGTGGTCTTTGCTAATTGCGTGTGTTTACTGCTGTATCTATCTTCTCTCATATGGCGTGGTATATATCCCTCCACTTATACGTTTGGATTATGGAGATTTCTTTTTGCTAACAATTATTCTCTTGTATAGTGCTGGGGTATGCTCCTTATAGAGTGTATCCAAAACTAATAATAATAAAAATAAATAGATAAATAAAAAATAGATGGGTAACAAATAGGAGGATCCTGGTAGGAAAGTCATGGTCTCAAAAACAATACTTCTTAATAGATGGTGTGGGCCTTATTTTGTCAACCAGGAAATTGCAAGGCTTATATCAGAAATAAAAATTGCTCCCTAGCCTAGACATGATCACTGTGCCAACATAATGTGTGTGATGCTCCGCAAAAGGAAGATTCTATATATAATAAATATATCTGAAATTTGTAGTTTTCCCGGTCTCGAGGCCCCGTGTGAATGGTATCACCTTCTTCGGTTTTTTCTTTTTTCTTTCTTACTTAGTAATGCCCTTATATCCATAATAATTTATCCATTTGCATTTCATACAAGGGAGGGTAAATTTGTTATTTTTCAAAAGTTGGTCAATAGGTCTGTTGGAAAGAAAATAATGGGGTGTCACTAAGCACGCCAAATCTCAAGAAAAATCAAAATATCCATATATAATTTATCCAAATTTTCAGAAAATATCAGTATAATTTACCCTAATAGCTATTCCACACACTAAATTAACATCTTATTATGAGGTCAGCATTATCAATCCCCAGATATTGAGGGCTATGTTTGGTTTGAAGATGAGGTCTATTTAGTTTACAAGGATTATGCTAGTTACTGGATGAAACACATCCTGCAAGATAACTCCTATCATTCTAGTTTTCCTTATAAATATCCGATTAATTATTAAAGATTTTCTAAATCATATAAATTGTCCAACATTGTAATGACCTAGTCATTTTTCTTCATTTCCCTTTTCTCAAATTTTACGGATAAATTTTTTCCGTTGAATTTTCTTTTCCGAGTTCAGTTTCTTGTTACTTGGAATCGTCTCGAGTGCTCGGAAATAGTTTCTGAGACTCTTTCCTTTGGATTGATGATTTTCTTAAAGGACCTCGTCATTTCCAAATTTTCATTTTTTTGGACACTATTCACTTTTCATCTTTTTACCCGTTTGTCACTTTTTTGACACAACCTCACTTTTCATACTCAGAGTTGGTTTTTGATTTCACGTAACTTCATTCTAACTGGTTTCCACGAAATACGTATCTTTACTTTTGTAGAAGAGCTCTCTGGTTACTCCCAGTGTACATAGGGGTATGGATGCAAAGTTCTTCAAAAATATTTTTGTTTCTTGGAGTATTTTTCGTAAATATCTTTTGAAGATATTTTATTTCGAGGATTTTTAAGAAAATTTTTGTAGAAGATATTTTCTTTCTGGCCAGTTTTGCAGTTACCCTTTCTTGGATGGGCCATTGTGCAATTAACGAAAGTTATTGTAAAATACCTCATTTTGATCCTTGATCCTCGTACGGGATTCATTTTCACTTTTTGTCGAGTCGTGTACCCTTAGAATTTCCTTCCGGACGTTTTCCCCAATTTTAGGAATTTTAGCCCTGGTTGCTACCGAACTTGTTTGGGGCATATATTTCTGCTCGGAACTTGGTTTTTGGCGTCATTTCTTCCGTTGTTCATTTTTTCTCGTTTCGGTTCTTTTTATTTTACAGAGTTCTGCTCAAATTTCATTTTTTCGAATCGGGCGGGGACCGTTCGGGGCACTTTTTGAAATTCTATAAATAGGGGGTGCTAGAAATAAAAAAGTCAAAGTTCTTTTCTCTCCCTCCCATGGCCGGCCAAGCTTCTCCCATGGTTGCCACCTTCTCTCTCCTCTTTTGAATCTCCTCCCTTTAGTGAAACGCCGTAGTGCCTTAGTATTTAATGTTCGCCTTGGCGAGGCCTTCGATTCCAACCGAATGGAATCCCGTTTTGGCCATTTTTTGAGTTTGGGTTTGAAGCCAAGTTAGGATTTTAGTATGACTTCCTTGGGGTTTAATCCTCACCGTGTTGTCCCTGACAAAACCCCAAAGTATCGTCGGATTCGGAGTAGTTTCATTTTGGTGGCTTTTGAGATTTTCATCTCAAATCGAGGTAGGGGATGTCTTAGGTTTATATTAATGTTATATTGATGATTTTTGAAGCTTATACAACTTGTATGCATGTCTTTGTCCAAGTTTTAGAATTTAATTTAATTATTTTCTATGTTTAAGATTTAATTTTCATGATGGTATATAGCTTAGAATTAAATTGTGACATGCTAATAAATTCGGCCTTGATATGTTTAGTAATATATATTAAATTGGGGGTATTTAAATAAGATTGCAAATTTTATTTAATAATTTTCTGTTATGAAAGTTTAATTCACATGGTTGTAACTTCCATGAAATCAACTTGTAATGTAATATTAAAATAGGCTTTGGTATATTTTTTAACCTATATTAATTTAAGAGTATTTGGATGAGTTTAAAAATTTAGAAATTTTAATTAAAATGATTAATTAAAATTTATTTAATGGTTCCATTGGTTTAATTAAGTTTTTAACTTGATATTGTAGTGACTAGGACTTGTTTACTAGCATATATTAATTTGGAACCATTTGGAGTTGCTTTAGAATCTAGAGATTTAATTATCATAATTTAATTAAATTCTACTTTATTGTTCCAATGACCTAAGTAAGTTTTAAATAGATATATGTAATGACCATGCTATGTTGTTCAGCATATATTAATTAGGGATGATTTGGTTGAGATTTGAAATCTAGAGAAATTAATTAGTTTATTTGATTAATTTCCATTTCTATTGCATTAATGATTTAATCATGTATTTGACGTTGGTTGTATGTTTAAATCATAATTTTGAACTTGTATTAGATTCATGAGTTTGTGTTTTCAATATTGAATGATATTGTTATAACTTTAACGAATCGCACACTGAAGATTCGACATATGATATTATTATAGCGTATAACGAATCACACTCTGAAGATTCGACATTTGTCATGCCATAGTAGTTGTGAACTTAGAGCATGTGTTGTATATTTCCAAAATTTGAATAGTGCATAGTAGATAGCTAATATCTAGTATATACATGTTGATATCTACGTTGTTGCACAATT